AGCTCCAAGTGAAGCCTCTCCTTGGAGGTGGGCCAGGTCAGACACTGGCTGAGCTATCTTGCTTATGGCCTTGGGCCTAAGGAAGCAGCAGCTGTGGCCTGGCATCTCCTAATACCAGCTAAGCTTTGTGCCCCCTCCCCCTTCCTAAGGGGCCATTCACAAAAATAAGAGCCAGCCTCATCAAAACACCACACAGCAAGTCAACAGCTAGTTGCTGGGGGCCCAAAAACCAAAAAGGAACCCAATCCAGCCTGTCTACCTTGGGCCATCCGAGAATACGCTAAACACTCACTTTCCACCACACAAGTACTAACCGGATAACTGGATCTTAGCATCCAGACCAGTGTTGCCCATCTTTGTTGTTTTTCAGTTCCTGTGAGTGATTTTCTCGCCTGGTCTCAGGAGGTGGTTCAACTGGGTCTAGTCTAGTCCATCGTTACCTGGGATGAACTCCCTCTTTATAAAGGCACGTAGCCCCTCACCCTGAAAACCCTACACAGTCTCATCTCAAATGGAAACACTTGGTCGTGCAGAACCATGATAGATGGTTCAGAAACCATTCTAAAGCACTGCCCTGGCGATCATATGCAGAATGTTTGCAGTGGGGCCAAACATAATGTGGATATGGGGCACGACCACTTTCATGTTACGTGGCTCCCTGGGAAGGAGCAGCTTGAAAGCACAGGGTTCCCGTGGGCAGTTCTGTTTTGTGGCTATCAAGCAGAAATCTGCACTCCCCAAAGTGTGGGGCAGGCTCTAACCACTTCAAGAACGAGAGCCAGTCAGGGTGTGGAGATTACCTACAGGGGGCTCAAGATCAATCCAAAGGTTCACCCTGAATGGGAATATGGGGACTCAGGCTACAGCTATGGGGGAACCAAAGTGTACACTGGTAATACAGCAGGGCCATTGTGGCTATCCTCCTGTATTTTGCAAAGATCGAACCTAACAAGGAAATAAATATTAATACAAAGGCAGTTGAGGGTTTGCTATACATACAGTGATTATTTTAGTCTGTTTCCAGGCTGAGTGGCTGGGTCTCCCCAGGGACTCTTCCTCAAGTCCTCCCCAACATTGGATTCATTTTCTTGGCATTGCCTGACTTTCCCTCGCTTGTTTTCTATAGGAAGAGAATCAGTCACAATTCCCTTTTCTGTCCTTTGTCCAGTCTGCAGCATTCATTCCATTGACACTCAAAAAAGACCAAAAAGTGGCCAACATGACATTTTTTTAAGGAGGTGGTGTGGCAAACCCAGATCAAGATTGGAAAGAGCTAACTGAGGTCTTAGATGCCCTCCTTTGCTGCTGTCTCTACGACTCCCCTGAGATAATGTGGGGCCTCACTAGTTGTCCTTTTGCCCAGGAAGTTCAGCCAAGAGAAGCACCTATGTTGATAGTTTTTTTAAACAGGCAGAACTGAGAAATCCCGCTCGTGCAGGATGATGCCTGAAAAGAAGGTGACGGGCTTTCCTTCAAGACTTCACTACCATCAAGTCGATTCTGCCTCATAGCAACCCTGCAGGAAAGGGTAGAACTGCGCCTGTAACTTTCCAAGCCTGAATTCTGTACAGGAATAGGAAGCCTCATCTTTGTCCCTGGAGGAGGCTGGTGGTTTCAAACTACTGACCTTGCAGTTAGCAGCACAACACAGAACCACTATGCCACCAGGGTTTCCCTCTCTACCGTACCAAGTATGGTGTCCTGGTCCAGCAACTGGTCCCTCCCAATGGCATGTCCAAAGTAAGCAAGAACAAAGTCTCTCCATTCTTGCTTCTAAGGCACATTCTGGCTAAACTTCCTACAAGACTGATTTTTCTGTTCATCTGATAACTCAAAACTCACTACCAGCTACTCAATTATGACTCAAAGCAAACTTATGGGGCAGAGTAGAACTGCCCCTGTGGATTTCGAAGACTGTAATTCTTAGGAGTAGAAAGCCTCACCCTTCTCTCACAGAGCAGCTGGTGGTTTTGAAGCATGGACTTTGTGGTTAGCAGCCCAACACGTAACCACTACACCGTCCGTGGTACAGTCAAAGTTCTTCACCAACACAATTTAAATGCGTCCATTCTTTTCAGGTCTCCCAGTTTTTCGTTGCCTCACTTCCTCGTGGGCACAGAGATTGGAAGTTCCTCCTGAATGTCATACTAGACATTCTGAAGCCTGAAATCAGTTGATTTCCTATGACTTCCGTCTTATATTCTAATGATCGCCTTTGCTCCTTTAATTCCCCTACTATCAACTCCCACGCCTAACTCCCCTTGAAGTATTCCCAGTCTCCTACATCTTCCTTAATACTCTTCCAAGTATCTCCCCACAACCCTACACTGAAGGACATTCTTGCACGTCTTCCCCTCTGAATTACCAAAATTCCCTAATCCTAACATAAAGCGCTCCAAAAAAAATTCCCAAATATCACTGCTTAAAAATTACTCAAATCATCCCTGGGGCGGGGACGGACGGACGTCTCCTTCTCTCCCAGTTGATTTATTTTCTTACGTTCCGATTTCCTCACACCTTAATGTCCTTTTCCAACTCATGCACGAAATACAACCCCTGTCCTTACCGCTCCCCCTGGAAGCAAGCGCCTTGGGGCTCAGCTTTCTCGGCCAGAAAACGGGGCTGCTGCAGCATGCTCTTCTGCTACAAAAACACGGGAAGTGAGAGCACCTAGAAGAGTCAGGAAGCACAACAACGAAGGTCGCTAATAAAAAAAAAAATCAAGAAACCGAAAAAAAAAAAAAATCAAGAAACCACACCCATTCCTACCGCCCCCCAATCTACACTCGTACCCTCGGGGCCAGTAGAACACCGAGAGCCAGAAAGTGAAGGGCGGGCCGGCGCCCGGCGTGAATGCGTCACCGCTGCCATGGAGACGCCCAGACCCCGCCTCTCCCTCCGCACTTCCGGTTGGCAGGCGGCAGCGCGGACCGCTCTAGGACTTACAGGAGGTCCAGCGTTGGTGATCTTAACCTTTTCTCTCCCACTGTCCTTTTAGGAGCCGCCGCGGGTTCTCAGTGCGCATGTCAAAATCGCAATCCAGGTGAACGCTGAGCGAGAGGGGCCAAAACGGAAGCTCCGGGATGCGGTGATAATGGATGCTTTCCTTCTTTGGCTGCTCTGGACTCCCGCTAAAATTACCAAGTGTCTGTGTGTAATGCACTATCTCCTTCTGTCCACTGTCGTCCACTTGATGAGTCAATGATTCAGAGCAATGGCTTCATCTACAGACAGAGGGTACCACTTCTGCGCCCCACAACTGGGCAAACCCTGCTGAGAGGAAGCCCCTCCAGCGCCACCTCCATTGTTAACCAAGCCTGACTTCTGAAATCAATCAAAATAGAGCAGTATCAATCCCAATGACTGAGCATTGGCAACAATACCAATGTTTATCAGCAGAGGATTGTTTAAATGCCGCATATCCATGTTAGGATTGAGCGCCACTGAGCAGGTCTCAACTCACTCGTGGAGATGCTCCCAGACCACCATGAAACACTGCCCCTTTCCGCACCCTTGCGTTTGGGTCCCTTGTCACCACTACTGTGTCCATGCATTTTGCTACGGGTCTTCCTCTTTTTCGATGACCCCTGACTTCATCAAGCATTGTCCTTTTCGAAGGACTTGTCTCTCACATGCCAAAAGTATGTGAGACGGAGGCTCTCAGCCTTTCCTCACTTCTAAGGTGCATTCTGCCTGTACTTCCAAGTCATGCTTGCTTGTTCTTCTGGCAGGCCATGGGACTTTCAATATTCTTCGCCAGCACAACAATTCGTATGCATCCATTCTTCTCAATCTTCCTGTTTCACTGTCTACCTGTCACTTGCATATGGCATGTGTTAAGTTTTTTGTTCCAACATGGTGCCTATAAGATACATGTGGAGTTTAGCCTGTCAATCAGGTCGCAGCTTGATGACCTCGCTTCGCGGTGCCCCCAAGATAAATAGCTCGCTGGAGGGGGACTTCTCTCTCTTTCTGCCATCACCTTCCTGTTGATGTCACATGGAGACCAGTTCGAACCCAGGAGATGTGACCACCTCCATAGAATCCGCGGGATTTTTCACCCACAGCTGATGATCTTCCTGCATTCTGCATCAAGGCATATGGGTTCCTGAGTCTGCAGACGGATTTGGGGACTAGTATCAGATTTAAGGAGTTGGAGTAAGCTGGGATTTTTTTCCCTGATATATAATTCTTCATATAAATCTCTCTCTTACACATGTAAGAGTGTCATGGGACTTGTTTCTCTAGTCAACCTGGCCTCATCCATGATGCGATTGAAAATTTGAAAATACGGCTGCTTGAGTCAGGCGCACACGTTAGTCTTCAAAGTGACTTCTTTGCTCTTCAAGAACTTTCATGAGGTCTTTGGGCAGCATATTTGCACGATGTAACACATCGTTTTATCTGACTATTTCCCTGAGTGCTGATTGTGTATCAAAGCAAAATGAAATCCCTGACAACTCCGATCTTTTCTCCATTTATCGTGATGATCCGTGTGAGGATGTTCATTTTCTTTACGTTGAGTGGCAATCCATCCTGAACGCTGAAATTTTTCATTTTCATCAGCAAGTGCTTTAAGTCGCCCTCACTTTCAACAAAGTGCATATCATATGTTGTTAATAAGCCTTCCTCTAATTGTGATGTGGTACCTCAGCTATTTACTCAGCACACAGATTGAAGAAATAGATGAAAGGATATGGCTTGTGAGCTCTGATTTGAAACCAGGCAGGGACCTTGTTCTTTTCAAACAACTGCCTCTTGGTCTATGTACAGATTCTACATGTGTACAGAAGTGGTCTGGAATTCCCATTCTCCTCAAAGTTACCCACATTAGCTACGATTCACATAATCCAGTGCCTTTGCATCATCAACAAAACAGAAGTCAACATGTTTCTAGTATTCTCTGCTTTCAGTCAGGATCCATCTGGAGTCTCTAATGGCAGCCCTCGTTCTACACCCTGTTCTGCATCCAGTTTGAATTCCTAACAATTATCTGTGGTACTGCTACAGCTGTTTTCAATTGCTTTAGCAAACGTTTACCTGCATGTGATATTATGTTGTTTGATAATGTCTATATCCTCTTGGAATTTCTTTGGAATGGACATAAATATGGATCTCTTCCTGTCGGATGGCCAGGTTGTTGTCTTCCAAATGTCTTGGCAGAGACTAGTGAGTATGTCCAGTGCTACATAAGTTTACAGCCTTTGAAATTCAAAGGGGCAGTTTAACTCCTATGGGGTAGAGTTTGATGTTCTTTTTTTATGAGTACATTATATTAAATTGTAGAAAACACAACTTATAGTTATGTAACAAAGATGAGTAGTTGCCTGGGATCAAAGATGGACACCCCTTGCAAAGAAATATAAAGAAATTTGGGAGTATATTCATCGTGTGGGCCGAAGAGCCAGGGGCTTAAATGGAAGAGGGCATGCCTTGCTCATTTTGCATCCAGAAGAATTGGGTTTCCTGTGTTACATGAAGCAATCCAAGGTTCCACCAAGTGCAATCGAGTTTTCCTGGTCCCAAATCTCCGATATTCAGTCTCAGCTTGAAAAACTTATTGAAAAGAACTACTTCCTTCATAAGTCAGCCCAGGAAGCATACAAGTCATATATTCGAGCATATGATTCTCACTCTCTGAAACAAATCTTTAATGCTAATAATTTAAATTTGCCTCAAGTGGCTCTGTCATTTGGTTTTAAGGTGCCTCCTTTTGTTGATCTGAACGTGACCAGCATTGAAGGCAAACATAAAAAGTGAGGAGGAGGTGGTGGATTCGGCTACCAGAAGACCAGAAAGGTCGAAAAGTCCAAGATCTTTAAGAATATTAGCAAGAAATCATCTGACAGCAGGCAGTTCTCCCACTGAAGACACACCTGCCTTCTCTTGACTAACTGCCCCCAAATGGATGTTCTTGACCTTGATCTAGCCAGGAACTGTTGTGGCCTTAAGGATCTGGACTGATTTATCAGAAGTTTGAATTGCAAGGCCAATGGACTGACTTCCAGCAAATCCTTTTTGAGGGGAGGGAAGCGGGGGTGGGGAGGAGGGGTTATGGTTAACTATGGTCAAAGAAAGAATATTTTTGATCTTCAACCAATGGTAAAAAAAATTTTTTTTAATATTTCCCCCTCAAATGTCTATGTCACTATCGGGGTGTAATTCTGTGCCTCTTTTTCCCTTTGTGGGGGCATGGCTGTAATAACTGTTGTAAAAGTCAGGCCAAGCAGGTGGCACTTGTGATATACTGAAAGTGTTCCCAGTTTAATTTTGGTTTGGCCTATTGGTTGTACCTTACGAATAGTTCTTGACCTTTCTTGAAAGGCAGGGGCCTTCAGGGAAATCACCCAAGGGATTACCTTAGGTAAAACATGGTAGTGATTTTATATATTGCTAATATATTTTTTAATGAAAAAAAGAAACCAAATGTTGGACTTCTAAGAATTTATATTCTAATTGGAAAGAGACAGTAAATAAATAACTGTAATCAATATATTGAATGAGCA